TCTTGTTATGTAAAATATGGTTGAAGAGTCATATAGCTCAAATGTAAAGGTTTGTTTTGGTTAGGAACATAAATAATTGCCTCCATCCTTAAGGGGTTAACAGATCAGGCGATAAGAAATTCTAAATTAAACATACTTTGCTATACAGTAAGTTTAAACATTATATGTCTCTTTACAGGAAGGTTAAGGAAAGCTGTGTAGGTAACAAGCAGGGAGATGTGACTAGGCCTTTATAAACAAAGCGATTTAACTCCTAAATGGCAGAGAATTAAGCAGTGAGACTGCAGGGGCTTCTTCTATGTACCAAAACTGCTTAATTAAGCTAAAGTTGTTTTGTTGCCTATAGTGTCCCTTTAATTGCGCAAACCAGTGAACTAGTTAGAGGATCAAAGTAGGCAGGAAGTAATTGAATTAAAATACAAAATATACTTTAAGATTAAACATATAATATACCTCTGTATAAAACGTAACAAAAGTAGATAATCAAAAAGACTCCTCTAAGTCTTCAAAGCAAAATACAAATATCTACAAACAAAAAAGATCAATAGACAATATTGAGTATATATATGTACAACAGTGATGCACTCACAAGGATAGAATTATAGCAGGCTTATCACTCATTAAGAGGATTCTCCTCCTAATGGTATTCAGCCTCTTTAAAGTTATGCAGGACTTATATGGATAAAAGAAGATAAACAAAATAGGGCTGGGGTTAAAATCAACAAATTTGAATTAAAGTTATGCACTTACACTATTCAGATAGAAATCAGGCATATCTAATCCAAAGGTGGAAAAAGGTCCTCTTGCCCAGGGACAAAGTAAAATCTTACCCAAATGTGGAAATACAAGTCTTGTCTTGTCATATCTGGTTCGGGTATGTGTTCCACACATCAGTTATAGAGAATTGAATCATACAGCATGTAACAAAAAAAAAACAAGCAAAACCCCCATCCCCCCACAAATTAGAATTTCATAAGGAAGATCCAAACCTAATAATTGGCATTAAGAATTAAGATTGGGCGCTCGGCGAGGACGGACGCATGTGAGAGAGGCTCCGTCCTAAACTGGCCCAAAAGCGACTGAATTAGCAACTTTGACCACCAAACTCCTCACCACAAACACCCCTCAACATGGCTCAACAAAAGGGGAAACGGAATCCCGACAAACCCGACAAAAACGGATTCTTTACGGCCCAAAACCAACCGCCAAGAGCCCAAAGTGCGCCGGACCAAGATGGCGATGACACACTCCCTCTACAGGGATCCCCTGGAGAAACAGCTCTCCCAGTCACTCAAGCTATCCTACAAGCATGTCTCGATGAAATATCAGAGAAATTGCTACACAACTTTAACAAATCCATTTCGGACTTACGAAAAGATGTCCAGGAGTTGGGAGACCGGACTGCCCATATGGAAAACCGCATGGGCGAATACGCGGAGGCGCACAATGATATGGCAGACCATGTCCAGCATCTGGAACAAGAACTATCAGCGTGCCAAAACAAACTCATGGACCTGGAGGATAGGTCTAGGAGACACAACATACGCTTCCGAGGTATACCTGAAGCTGTTAAACAAACGGACATCGTAGCACACCTCACGGATCTCTTTAAGATTCTAGCTCCGGATCTCCCGGCGGACGTCCTCCTTATTGACAGGGCCCACAGGGTCATGAAGCCTAAATTCCTCCCGGAAGAAGCCCCCAGGGACATACTCGCCTGTCTTCACTACTACCATGCAAAGGAAGTGCTAATGCAGGCATCCCGGCGGCGGAAGGATCTCCCGGCCCCATATAACACCATTCAACTATACTCCGACCTCTCAGCAAGAACCCTGCAGAAGAGGAGAGAATTTAAAGCGATCACGGATGCGCTCCGTCTCCACGACATGCCGTACCGCTGGGGACACCCAGTGCGCCTCCTCATTCACAAGAACGGAGTTATTAATACCATCACCACCCCGGAGGAAGGCAAGAAAGCCCTGAAGAAATGGGGCATACCATTTCTACCCAGCACCCACCCACGGCAGGACAACCAGCAACACCCGACCAAGCTACACTCTGACTGGAAGAAACAGCGAGCCGGAGGGAGAGATTAAAAAGATTACGTAGTGGGATGAAGTTCCACATGCCAAGAGACTCACTACAGCAGCTGAAATGGCGTGAAGCCATCCAGATACGTGGTCTCCACGCAATTGGACTCAATTGGACTAAAGGTGTTTTACACCAGACTATGTGATGATCTGTCATGAACACAGATGACTGTCCGCCGGACAGGTGACTATGCTGCCCCCCATACATTCACACCACACAAGTCTACAACATCACAGCCAGCAACATTGTCGCACCACTCTTGCATCACAACATGTGCACACATCGGTAGGCATCCGGATTAAATTACAGGGGTGTATTATTAGCAAGGGCTGCTGGTAGACACTACAGCAACCTACCCACACATACACTACACGATGGGGGTGAAATCAGCACACTGGAACACATCTGAGCAGCACAAGCCCGAAGCTCCATATTGTTATTATAAGTCAATTGTTAGTATATGCTAAAGGGTTCAAGCATATCAATATACATTTAAAAAAAAAAAAAAAAACACAACAGTATGCTCACCAAGCTCCTGTTCCCATGCATAATCTCACTATATGTTAATTTCTCACTGTTGCTAAGCATTATAATGTACTTGATGGTTAGCATGTTGATATATAACCACAGTTAGTCCCACGAGCCACAACGGGACCATTAACTTTAGCGGCAGCCATCGCAAACAACCTCTCTGGCAGCCATGAGGGCATTGTTCACAGATTTCCTTGGTCACAGTGTCCAACTACGGCCAATACCTGGCTTACGTCACACTCTTCAACCACGCTCCAAATGGCACCGATGTTCGGTTCCTCAACCCACAACTGGGTTATAGTTTTACAACCGTTGCTGTTCGCACACTCTCAGTGTGACTCATCCTCTGTTTCCCCCCCCCCTCCATCCCCCTCCAACCCCACTGGTAGAGAGCCTGGAATTCCTACACTAGGAAATTGACCACACGATTTGCCGGTGAACACATTTCGTCCACATACACATATTGGTACCAACTCTGCGACAGGTATCCGCTGCATCAACAGAGGGTTACTCTACAACCTACGAGCCACCCACAACTTCGTTCACATACGACCATAGCCGATTGCACAGCTTCCACCGTTGCACCACTATATGAAAATACAAAGCTATAATGTCAGAGGGTTGAACACCCCATACAAGAGGCACTGCCTCTTTAGGGATCTTAAAAGGGATCAACCTGATGTCATTTGCTTGCAAGAGACACACTTTAAATCCCCACCCACAATGAAACAAGCCCTATACCCACACCAGTTCCATGCCACGTCGGGGAAAAAAACTGGGGGCACATCAATCTTGATTAGCAACACGGTCTCCTTCCAACACCATGACACAAAGAAAGACATAGAGGGAAGGTACATCATAGTCCTATGCACAATCAACAACACTAAATACACTCTGACAAACATATACGCACCAAACACAAACCAAAGGAATTTCCTGCATAAAATACTAACTTTACTACAACCGATTCAGGAAGGCATTCTTGTTCTCTGTGGGGACTTCAACCAAATTCTAGACCCCCACTGCGACACGACCTCGACGGCAACCAAAGGGTCTCAGGCTAGACACTACAGGGCATGCACAACATACCTCAAACTACTGGATAGCCACCGACTGTACGATGTGTGGAAAGTCCTACACCCACAGGAAAAGGACTACACATACTACTCTTCCACACACAATACGTACACCAGAATAGATAGATTTCACCTAGAGAGCCAACACCTAGACCAAGTGCTCGACTGTTCTATAGGCCAGATCTCGTGGTCTGACCACGCCCCACTGACATTGACCCTAAAAGACAACTATGACTACAAACACAAGAGCCCGTGGAGACTAAACGAAACGTTGTTGACGGACGATTCCTTTGCTAAGCAGCTTGAGGAAGCCATCTCGGAATTCTTCGCGCTGAATAGCATAGGGGACACAACAGCTAGCACTGTATGGCAAACACACAAAGCAGTCATTAGGGGACTACTTTTGAGGCGAGCAGCACATCTAAAACGTTCCAGTCAAACCCAGTGGTTGGCATGGCATAAACAACTAGCGGACCTCACGACAGCGAACAAAACACTCCCAACAGCGACAACACAAAAAGCTATTAAAGACATTGCGGACAAGATCAAACTTCACACTTTAGAACGAGTAGGTTTTAATCTCCACAAACTTAATTCCACACACTACGCACAGGGAAACAAAGCCAGCAAAATGTTAGCCGCACGACTGAAAAGAAAAGAAGCCAACACAAAGATTTCACATATTTTCACCCACGATAACAAAAAAGTAATCTCCCCCATTGATATCAGCAACACGTTCGCTGATTACTACGACAAACTATATAATTTGGCACAATCCAACCAATCACCCACCCCCGCTGACAAAGACATAGAGACCTACTTACAAGACATACCTCTCCCGACTCTCACACGAGACCAATCGGCCCAACTAGCCAGCCAAGTCACGGGAAGTGAAGTGATTGAAGCCATATGCACCCTGCCTAAAAACAAAGCACCAGGTCCAGACGGTTTTACGAATGCGTACTACAAAAATTCGCAACTCAACTAGCCCCCTCATTGACCTCACTATTCAACTCGGCCACTCAGAACAAGACGTTACCGGCAGATCTCCTTTTGGCACACATCATTACACTTCCTAAACCTGGCAAACCACCGACCCACTGCTCAAACTTCAGACCAATTTCCCTACTAAACACAGATGCTAAACTATACGCGAAAATATATGCCCGTCGCCTAGGGTCGATACTCCCAACACTGATCCATGACGACCAGGTGGGATTTGTGGCAGGCAGACAGGGAGCAGACAATACACGCAAAGTGTTAGATCTGATGCACAGTATACGGAGGAAAAATCTAAGCGGTCTCCTAGTCTCGCTTGACGCGGAGAAAGCCTTTGATAGACTCAACTGGAAATTTCTCCAAACGGTCTTGACAAAATTTGGCTTCCCCTGCCAATTCAAGAACACGGTAGCGGCACTCTATAGCAACCCGACTGCGAGAGTCCTAAATGCAGGATTCCGCTCTAATGAATTCACTATAAACAACGGCTCTCGACAGGGCTGCCCCCTATCCCCACTGTTATACGTGCTGGCATTAGAACCATTAGCAGCCAAAATTAGAGAAAACTCTGCAATCCACGGGATACCACTCAACCAACAGGAATATAAATTAAGTATCTTTGCAGATGATATATTCCTAACCCTTACACAACCATTAATTTCCCTACCCAACCTTATGCACCTCATTACAGAGTAGGGGCAACTTTCACACTACAAACTTAATGTTACTAAAACACAAGCCCTAAGCCTCAATATAAATAGCACCCAACTGGACACTCTCAAAAAATCATTCCCACTGGACTGGAGAAACGACTACCTTACGTTTCTGGGAGTCAAAATGGCTAAAAACCCCACTTCCATGTTCCAACTAAACAACCAACCCCTATTAACAACCTTTAAAACCACTCTAGACTCTTGGGAGGGAAAATATTTATCGTGGGTGGGACGCATAGCGGCAATAAAAATGTCTCTACTGCCAAAATTGCAATACCTGTATAGAACGCTACAAATACAGCTACCGGGGAACTACATCAAAAGTCTAACGAAACTACTCATAGGCTTCATATGGCAACATAAGACACCTAGAGTAGCAACTAAAATACTGCAAAAACCAATAACCCAGGGAGGACTAGGCCTCCCGGACTTGGCAACATACTACAAAGCAGCGGCACTCTCAGTGATACCGCACTTACGCCAAAGGCCAGCGTCACCCCAATGGCTACAGATAGAAAACTACTGGGCCCAAGATCCGACATTACACTCCATATTCTGGACCCCTAAAAGCCACAGGAAAGACACCACACATCTCCTACCAACGACCCAACACATCCTACAACAATGGGACACATCCAAACACAAGATGGTACTTTACCATCCAATGTCACTAGCAACCCCCCTGACCGCCCTAGGGGCGGCAATACCGACACTCAACACCCACCCTTGGACACAAGGAGGCGTTGAAACCATTGGCCAGCTGTACAACGAAAAGGGTCTCAAACCCTTCCCGGACCTACAGCAAGAATTCAACCTTCCACACAAGCTAATCTTTGCGTACCTGCAAATAAAATCATACCTATCCAATAATGCACC